TGCCCTAAGTCCAATGGGCATTCCCTTAAATGTGACTTGATGCTATTTCTCTTTTTATTTTTGGGATTCTTTGTCTAATTATTTTGACTAGAGCATTCCTTGGTGAAGGTCTATTTTGACTGAATCCAGTTGCAGCCCTTTGAGCTTCTTGCACCTGGAAGTCCATATCTCTTTCTTTTAARATTTGGGAAGTTTTGATCTCTTATTTCGTGACATGGGTTTTCAATGCCCTTCCCCTTTTTTTCACCTTCTGGAATTCCCATAATGAAAATATTTGTTCACTTAACAAATATTATGGAACTTGTATTATGTCCCATAAGTCTTGACATTGTGTACGCTTTCTTCATTCTTTTCTTTTGGTCTGGATTAATTCAAAAGACCTGTCCTCAAGCACAGATACTCTTCTATTTGTTCTACTCTGTTTTGGAAGCTCCACAACCTTCAGTCAGCAACTGTGGATGTGACCCCATAGAATGTAAAAGATACCTTCCCCAGAACTCTCAGGATGGTTTGGGGAGATGTCTGGGCCTATAGCACCAGTAGCCATAGTTCTGGAGCCCCAGGATGAGATGAGACCTTCCTCACATACTACAGGGATGAGCACAGGTGATGCTGCAGTCTGTGACACCAGGAATTGTAAACTTGAGGTTGTGGAACATAAAGGGGACATTCTGTTGGTCCTAGGGGACAATTAGTGCTGAGATCAATAGTGCTGTTATCCACTTTCATTGAGCTATAGGACCCAGATAACTTCTTCAGGTCCCAAGGGACAAGAACAAGCAGTCCCAGGGGTTTTGGCATCAGCAGCTATGGTTCCAAGTCCATGGGCTGTGAAAAACCTTCCCTGGGACCCTCAGGGTATGTGCAGGTAACATTTGGACCTGTGGTACTGTTATTCATATACTGGAGATGTGGGATATGAAGGAGACCTTTCCTGAGTTCCACAGAATGAGTACAGGTAATATTGGGACTTTGGGCATTGGTATTTGTGGTCCTAGAGCTTCAGGAGGTGGATAGGAATTCCTAGGTCATGTGGGGCAAGCTTTGGTGGGGACAACGTTTGTGGGATCAGTAACCACAGTCCTGGAGCTGCAGAACATGGATGGAACCTTTCCCTCGTTACCAGAAACAAGCTTGGAAGTGATACCAGGTTAGTTTGTAATAGCATCAGCAGGCCCAAGGTAGTGGGAAACCTTTCTGAGTTCCTGACAGGTATACTCAAGGTACACAGGTGGTACTAGGGTTTGGGGCTGCTGGGATCTTCCCAGCTCCCAGTGAACAAGTGCAGGTAAAGCCGGGACTTTGTCCCAGTAGCTATAGTCTCAAGGCTTTGGGCTGAAGAGGAGATTTTACTAGTTTATTCCCATGAATCAAGAACAGATGGGACTCAAGTTTGTGGCTGTAGCAGTCACTGATCCTGAAGCTGCAGGACACTGAGAGGGCTGTCTTCTGCCCAGTGAAGCAGTTACCAGGCAGAGACTGTTGGCTCTGATGGGCAGGTGGCTGCAGTCCCTAAGGCAAGATGTAGGCCCAAATCTTCAGCAGTATTATGGCAGCTTGGGTTCTAGGAGTTGGAGGCCCCAAGTGAGTTCCTTCCTTGGAGAAGAACAATCACTCTTATCCCAGCCAGCTCCCTGGACTGTACTTAAAGGCCTTAAAGATGTGCACTTCTCTTACTGTTGGGACTGCCGGTCTGCTGCTATGATTGGGGCTGCTGGCACTCTCCTGCTTGCCTTCTCCCAGAAAGAAATACACCAGCCCCTCCACTCTGGCTACTAAAAAGCTGGGGCTGAAGTGACTGTTTGCTTGTTCTTTCCTCTAGGTTGCCCTCTAAACCTTCTATGCTGTTTAGGGTTCCCATTATTTCCTTACTGATTTTCAGAGTTCTCCCTCAATTACTGTCCTCAAAAAAGAGTTTTTGCTTTGTTGTTGTGATTTGTCCCTAGGCCAGAGCCATGAACAGAGCACCTCTAGTAGCCTGCCTCTTCTGTTTCTCAGAATTAGGCTGCTGATGACAAATTCATTGGGCTGAAAGAGTACAGCTTCACAAATAGCCCAAGAGTTGTTAGCTTCAGGGGCAGAAATCCCTAATATGAGATTTTATCATTTTTCTCCATTTTTCTGAAAACAGATGGTAGAAAAAAATGAGGGTTGTGTATTCTCTGAATGTGACTGCTACAGTTCAAATAATGCAAATTATGCCAGTGAAAGGGTGTGTGGTTAATTTAATTTTGCTTCATATGGATTTCCAGTTTTCCCAGCACCATTTGTTGAAAAGGCAATCTTTTTGCCAATGTATGTTTTCTGAGCCTTTGTCTAGTATGAGATAACTGTATTTATGTGGGCTTGTCTCTTTGTCTTCTATTCTGTACCATTGGTCTACATGTCTATTTGGTGCCAATACTATGTCATTTTTGTTACTATGTCTGATATTGTGATGCCTCCTGCTTCACTCTTCTTGCTAAGGGTTGCTTTAGCTATTCTGGGTCTCTTATTTTTCCAAATGAATTCCATGATTGCTGTTTCTATTTCCATGAGGAGTGTTGTTGGGGTTTTAATTGGAATTGCATTAAATCTGTATAATGCTTTTGGTAGTATGGCCATTTTGACAATATTAATTATTCCTATCCAAGAACATTGGAAATCTTTCCATCTTCTAAGATCTTCTTCAATTTCTTTCTTCAATGTTCTGTAGTTTTCACTGTATAGGTTTTTCACCTCTTTTGTTAGATTTATTCCCAAGGTGTTTTTTTTTTTTGAGGCTATTATGAATGGGGTAGTTTCCTAATTTGTTTTTCAGAGGGTTTAATCACTGATATATAAAAATACATTTGATTTATGGATATTTATTTTGTATCCTGCTACTTTGCTGAATTCATTTACTAATTCTAGAAGTTTTCTATTGGAGTTTTTTTTTTTTTTTTGATCCTCTAAGTACAGAATCATGTCATTGACAAATAGTGATAGTTTCTCTCACCATGCACAGTACTCAACTCAAAGTGGATCAAGGACCTAGGAATTAGACCAGAGACCCTGCACCTAATAGAAGAAAAAGTAGGCCCAAATCTTCATCTTGTCAGTTTAAGTCCTGACTTCCTTAACCAGACTCCTAAAGCATAAGAAATAAAATCAAGAATTAATAAATGGGATGGATTCAAACTAAAAGCTTCTTCTCAGCAAGGGAAGCAATCATTAATGTGAAGACAGAGCCCACAGAGTGAGAGAACATCTTTACTACACGCACATCAGATAGAGCATTAATTTCCAGGACATATAAAGAACTCAAAAAACTTAACACCAAAAAAATTAACAACCCAATCAATAAGTGGCCTAAGGAACTGAACAAACACTTTTCAGAATAAGATATACAATTAATCAACAAATACATGAAAAAATATTAAACATCTCTAGTAATTAGAAAAATGCAAATCAAAACTAAGATTTCATCTCACTCCAGTCACAATGACAATTATCAAAAATACAAGCAATAATAAGTGTTGGCAATGATGTAGGGGAAAAGGTACACTCATACATTGCTGGTGGCACTAAAAATTGGTGCAACTATGCTGGAAAGCAATATGGAGATTACTTAGAAAACTTGGAATTGAACCACCTTTTGACCCAATTATCCCACTCCTTGGTCTATACACAAAGGACCTAAAATCAGCATACTGTAGTGACGCAGCCACATCAGTGGTTATAGCAGCTCAATTCACAATAGCTAAACTGTGGAACCAACCTAGATGCTCTTCAGTAGATGAATGGATAAAGAAACTATGGTATATATACACAATGGAATATTACTCAGCATTAAAAGAGAATAAAATTATGGCATTTGCAGGGAAAAGGACAGAGTTGGAGAATATAATGCTTAGTGAAGTTAGCCAATCCCAAAAACCCAAAGGCTGAATGTTTTAATAAGTAGATGCTGATTCATAATGGCAGGGGGCTGGAGGAGGCCGGTGAATGAGAAGAATGGAGGAACTTTGGGCAAAGAAGAGGGAGGGGACAAGGGAGGGTCTTGGGGACAGGAAAGATGGTGGAATGATGGATTTTATTACCCTAGGTACATGTATGATTTCACATATGGTGCAACGCTACATCATGTACAACCAGAGAAATGAAAAGTTGTGCTCYATATACGTACAATGAATCAAAGTGCATTTTGTCATATATACCTAATTAGAATTAGTTAATTAATTTTTTAAAGGGGGGTATTATTTCTAAGTTCTGGATTTTAGTTCTCTTCCACTTTAGAATAAAATAAGATTCAGGACAATTTACAAGAGGCCCTGTGTTTTCCAGTTCTAAAATGAAAAAAAAAAAAAACTATTGACATGAAAATCATGTAGTTTTGCTTTTTTCATTGATTCATTTACTATTGCAATTCCTATCCATTTTCCTGTTTTCTTTTATGGCAATATTTTATCATACCATGTATATACATTACTATACCAGTAAGTATATGTATGTATATGAAAGTATGTAAGGGTTCAAGTTTTTCATACTCTTTATTATGTGCAGAATTCTAAGATCATATTTTAGTGAAGAGGTAAGCCCTCTGTTGGTATCTGTTCACTCAGACTATAAATTAGGGTTAGAAAGGCTATAATGAAATGAGTCAGTAATTTATAAGCTATTAAGATAGTTATAAGTGATTCTGGAGCATGTTGAATAGAGAACATATGTTTATGAAAGAAGCAGATTCAGCACAACATCTCTTTGGTTTAGCCAAACCCAATCAATTAACAAAAGGGGATGTCTTTCTTTGCCTGTCTCCCACTTTCCAAAAATAGCATCACTAACCACTTGTTAACCACACTGATTTTTGTAATAGAATGGTTGCTATAGCTTTGCTACCAGAAATATTCAGATTAAGCACCCTAATAGATCATAGCCAGCAGTCTACAAAACAGAAAGAAAGCTCTGCTTGCTTCTTGCCTTCTTTCCTTGTTTGACTTGATGTGATAATTCATTGCAGATTTCTTTTTCTTTGACAGAGTGCCTACCGCAGAAATGGGATGGCTTTTCTAGCCTGTTGATGTGACTGTGCCTGCGATGACTGGAAAGGCAGTGTTATACTGAGGTGATCTCTTGAACAAAATAAAAGTTTACCTTCTCCATGTCCTAGGGAGTGGAATGGCTTATTGTGACTCCAACTAGCTGACTCCTGCTCTTTTCCAGCCCCCTTAACACTTTGTCTTGTTTACTAGATGGACCATTTAGCTAATAAATGGCAGGATGTTTGGGATAGCGTGTAGGTGGACAAGAATGTAGATCACACGATTTTGAAATTTTAATTTGGCATGGATTTGCTACCCTCAACACCCGTATCCTAAAAGCAATGTCTCCCCACCCCACTGTGTTTGGTCAGTGTTTATTTGATAACTTTATAATCCAGGTTTGAGACAAAGGAGACAAAATTAAAAGGACAGTTGATCTTCTCCTCCCACTGTCCTACCAGCTTTACTTTCCAACACTTGTTGATTGCATCTGCATGTATTTTACAGATACCTGTTTGTTTTGTAGCTAATCAAAGATCTGATTGACCTGCTGAACTGCCTTTTTCCCTCTCTTCTTCCCTCATGTACTATATCTGAATATGGGTCATTTCCATGCCTTCTTCCCATCTTCCTGCCATCAGCCATGTGTTTCTCCTCATACAGAACTTTTTCCAACATTTCCCTCCTTTCCCCTGGTCCACTTGCCAGGGCCACCATCCTATCCATTCCCTGTCCTATCAGAAGCAGTAGAAAGGAGCAGAAACGCTTGCTTCCTCTCTTCAGCATCCCCACCCAGTTGGAGACTAGGCAGCCACATTGCTTGCTGGGAGCAGCTGTGCTACCCTCTGGCATCTGTGTTTTCTGTGGTAAATGAGGAACTGTAACTCCTGGGAACAAACCAAAATATGGCAGATGAAGTTGTACAGTTCCTGATTAAACATGAATTGCAAAGAAGGAAGTTATTTCTTTAAATTCTGTGGGAATTTTGTGTAATTTAACTTTTATCATGGTTTCACACAAACCAAAACAGTCTTTTATAAAGAATTAATAAAAACAGAAATGAGAAGCGTGAAAATTTTTTTTCCTTGGGACCAGATCATTGAGAGTCTCGGTGTAATTGTCCCATGTTATTCACATTTGTTAACTGTCTTTTACCTGTTCTATGTTAATACTCTTGGAAAAAAATCTGCACGTCAGAAACAAAAAACAGATATATAATATCAAAAAAATTGCTGAATGGTTTTGATATTGCATCTGTGCTGATTGAAATGTACAATTAAACTTTTCTTTTTATCATCATCCTTATTTTCCTTGGCATCCCTAATGGTGGAAAATTATAAGTCTGCAGTAAACATCCTAACTTTTAAAATGACAGCATTTATTGTATTTGGTTTCATCTCCCAGCCTTAAGGAAGGTATAAAATTTTCAGTGGCTAATTTTTCATATTGAAATTTCTTCTGTTCCTGCACATTATATATTTTAAAGTTTGCACAAGATAGAAAATACAGGGGTTAGTTTTTTCCCTTCATTTTATTCTACCTGATCTCCACATAGTCCCAGAGAAGGAAGACTCAATGTACATTTCTCTCAGAAATATGACAGGTCTGTGTTTTCGTTGGTCTGGTGTATGTTTGTCTATCTTGAACAGTCTGACAGGTAATTATTTATAAAATCTGGTTTTGCCCAGTAAGTTCATATAATAACCTTTCACTTTTCATCATAAGCCAGAGAGCTGAATTTAGAATAAAACAAGGTCATTTATGTCTGTCCTGAACCAGCCTAGATGTCCCCATAATTGCTCAATATTTATATTTTTAATTCTTTTTTTTTCTTTTCTACACTTAGGTTCTTTTCTTACACTTTCTACAAGACTAAATTTGAAGTGAAATAAAATTCCTTAAGTAGTGAGTATAGAAATAAAAGAAAATTTACAGAATGAAAGTTTCAGAAAATGTAGTTTAAGATTAAAATAACAGAGCAGAATCTCTTAGATAACAGAGCAGAATCTTAAAGATAGTTGAGGACAGACTTTCATTTTTCAGATTAAAAAAAAAAAAAAAACATTTCCTAGAGAGGAAAGTGACTTTCCCTAAATCACTCAATAATGGCAGTGACAGAGATTAGAACCCATGGTCCCTTGCTTTTAACCTAATATTATATTCCATTATATTGGATTTGCATTAGAATATTACAAAGACTCATTGGAGTTTTATAGTATATTTATCCCAGTAAATTGGAACATATTTATCCCAATGTAAATTTATTTTTAAAATAATACTAACTATGGACATTCCTAAAGCATAAGTGCTATGTGTTAAAATCTTCAGAGGGACTTTGGCATTAACTGACTGACCTATGTTCTTAAACATCAGGCTCAACTCTAAGTCAGTGACTGTATACCCTAGTTTGTTTTTTGTCCCTTGTGTTTTAGAGTCAGTGTGAAAACAAACCAACGAATAATGAATAACCTCTCTTCTAGATTTACCCCCTAGATTAAGGGTAAAGGAAAGAGAAATACTTCTCCCTTCACCTAAATTTGGAAGCATGACTTTCTGAACATAGCACTTGGAGGTTATGTCATTAACCTTCTTGTCTTCACATCTTGTAATAGTTGAGATTCAAAAATAATATTCCAGTTTTAGGACTGAGGGTTTTTATTTGAAAACCATCAGAAGCACACTTTTTAAAAATGGTGTATATAGTTTCTGAATCTAGGGAGAACTCTTCATTTATTACCATCTGTCCTTTGTTTTTATGAAATAATAAACAACCCACATTTAATGCTTTTACCACATAGAAGGCAAATAAACACAGTAGTGATTCTTGGTCTGAAAGGAAACAAGTTTACTTGTCTAAAAATTATAAAGTTTAATTATATGAATTTTTTTAAACATAGTTCCCAAATCAGGCATTGCTTTCCAGTTCCTGTAACTCCTTATATAAAACTAAATCATTATAGAGAATGTATTCTCTCATCTGCCCTTCTGGAATTTAGATAGAACCTTCCCAGGTTGCATTTAAAACTCTACCATCAACCATGTATACATCTCATAAAATATTTTACAGTTTCCTGTATGCTCCAGCTGAACATTCATAGTATATAAACACTTCTGCAAATAATCTAAGGGCAAAACGTTGAGTATGTCTTAGCAGTGTCCCCTTATAAAGTTAATTCTCCAGCAATGTATTTTCTTATTCTATCTTCTTAGTTGAAATCCAAGATGAATATTTCTTGTGCTGTTGTACAGTGGTGGGAGTAGGAAGGAGCAGAGGACACAAGCGGTTTCAGTGGAGTTGTGTTCATTAAGGCAAAGGCTTTCTGCAGAGGGCATCAAGCCAAGCTTAAACAACAAAACCAGGCCTGCAGGAATTGGATGTAAATGTGATGGTTAAATAAGGGCCAGATGCCTTTAAAGATTCAAATATTAAAAAGTCACATCTCTTAATGTTTCAAGTTTAGGACAAGAATACTATGGCACTTTTTWAAAAAAAAAAGAGAGAGACTTTCATTTGTTTTCTGGGATAAAATATCAAGTATTCAAGCTGTCATAAGTCATGGAAATTTTGGCAAYTGGAACATATTTTAAAACAATCAATTCCTGCAAAGGCACAAGAAACCCACATACAATATTTCATTGTTGACAAGCCCCTGTGATGCTGCGTAGAGCTTTATATTCATGGTCCCTTTTCTGCTCATCACCACCCAATACTCACTGTTCTCATTTTTTCCCAAAGGAAAGTAAAAAACAAAAATATTAAAATGAAGATGACCAAAAGATAGTTTTACTTACATCAGATAAAGCTGCATTTGCTATTTTAACAAAAGACATAACAGCATTTTAATCATTACAGCACATCAYATGTGCTATGTACTTTGTGTGTTCATCTCATCTTCTGTCACAGCCCCTCTTAGAGTTACACACAGTTACAGGAGAGAAGAACAGCAGGTCAGTACCTTCTGCAGTTACCCAAGATGGAGCTGGCACTAGTGCCCAGCACTAATCCTAYAATTACACAGCATGAACTGTCCTAAGATTTCTGAAAACATATTAAAGAGAGTTGCTGCCTAACTTTGAACCTAGAAGCATTTCTCAGTACCAAAAGACCTCAATTATAAGAAAAGTTTAACTTACCATTCCTCTCCCAATGCCAAGTATTATATATACACAATAAAATAACATACAACATATAATAAAATTATACAAAATCATGCCAATTCCTCTTGAGTGTCTTAAAGCTTAAAATAAAGATGTATGATCAATGAATGTGTTAAGAGTCCCTATAAAAATTATGAGAAAAACTTCCTTAAAGATCTACTTATGCAAAGTCTCTCTTGTTTAAAGATGAGATTTCTCCAGAAGACTAATCATACAGGCTACTATTCTATGATTTCATTAAAATTATTTATCGTGTTACAAAATAATCCCCATCTTGTTTACAGTGTGTTTGCAGTAGCAGATACTAAAGTACACATGTCAGTGCTCTGCAGCTTTATAAATGACCCTTTAAAGTGTTCTCCTTCATTATGATACAGTAGTCATGGTTTCTTCTAGCCCTGCATGCTTGTGTGTGTTTGGAGGGAAGTCATGAACAGAGATAAATAGAAAAATGCAAAGAAAGTTGTTGAGCACAATTTGAATGACAAATGATAACTTCCCATTCTAGCCAGTAGTTAGTATCTTCTTTAATTCAACCCTAGGTCTGTTTTGCCTTAGGACAAGTCACTTCTGATTTATGTCCTTATAGATGACAGGTAACAGAACACCAACTTGTGGTACTGTAGCTTTTTTTCCTGATGGCTTTGCTTTGCTTCTTCCAGCCACTTACAAGAAGCCAGTTCACCTTTCAATGCTTGGGCTACTTCTTATCACCCCTCCCTGACCTGTCTGTGCTCTTCATCAGCTGTCCCTAAGCTGTGGCAACTGCTGCTTTGGAAATTTATTGCTCACACAGCAGCATAAGCAAGATCTTTTCACAGTCCTAATCCCACAAGAAGATAAGACAGTGGGGCCAGATGGTAGAAGATCTGAATAAGTGGTAGTTCACTGTGTCATGGAGTTAAGAACCAACTCTAAACACAGGAAGTTTTATGATTTGTATCCCTACCCAAGGTGTGGCTGGGGGTGTTGTAGAGATAGAAAGTGCTGTGCCTCCCAGAACCAGGGAGGTGGACAAGAGGCAACCTATTGGCAGCCTGTGTGTCTTTGGGGATCACAGGCTATGGGTGAGCCTTGCCTGGGTGGCCTGCACGGGGATGAGTGAGACCTCCTTGTGCTCCTGCACAACACTGCATAGAAGTGACTATTTTAAAAAA